ACAATGGGATTCCAAGATGAAGGGAAGGAAATGGGTACAGGGGACAAGGGAGGCGTGACTAGCAATGGGATCTCAAATCCCTCTGACAAAACTTGAAGAACCCAAACATTGTTGATGAAAGGGTGCCATTGATGAAAAAAGGCTGCAAGTCAAGCTCCCACCAGACCAGAACTCACCAGGTAGTCACTGAAACTGTTGGCAACATATCGTGCATCATCGGGAAAAAGATTGAGCTGTGGCACCTCGAGAAGGAGGGAAGGGGAAGGATGGGAAATTGAAATTGGTGCTACACTTGTCTCCAACTGAGACAAATAGGCTACCAGATGGGAAAGGGCAGACCATTGTTGGATTGATGCCACCCAAGATTTCAAAGACTCCGAGACCATATCAAAGATGGAATGCCATAAAAATGGAGCCAGATGTAAATCCTGGAGATAAAGTGCAGGTAAACAGGCCCTTGATAAGACAGCATCTTGACCCAGAAAGTCCCAACAACAGAAAAACAACGTGGAGGTAAAGAGGGAGAGGATGTCCCCAGAAAACCCCTCTATATTACTTTGAAAACAAGAGATTAATTGTGGAAAGATACTGCAAAAGAGTCACGAGGGTAAAACATAGGTGGGAAAATTGGGCATGGTTTAAGCTACCAGGAAATTCAGGGCCCACCATCCAAATGGGTAAAACAGAACCCAACAGATGCTGGTTAAGATAAGGACAGTCCATGAATATAATCATAGGAAGACTGATCCGAAGCCTGTAGGAGACAAGGCATGTAAGTGAGAGGCAAATTGTTCAGCATGGACCCAATTGTCAGGGGAAAAACCAAATAGGGTTGGGAAGAATTTTCATGCACTAAAGATAGATGTGGGTCAAAAGGAATAGGAGTGAGGGATAAAACATCACATACCCGAAAAATAAGTTTAAACAAAACGTGGAAGGCCGAACTGAATCATCAGGAAAAGTATGGGAAGGCACGGCAAACTCAGGAGGGGGAAACAGACAGCCAAAGTCCTCGTCAGACTACACAGGTTCAGGAGGAAATGGGGCAATGTCCAGAGATAGAGGTTGATCCATGTAATGATCAATCTCCCTGCAAATAAATGTTAGAGAAAACTCCCATTGGTTTGCCCACACCTGAAGCCCCAGAAAACCCCTCTATATTACTTTGAAAACAAGAGATTAATTGTGGAAAGATACTGCAAAAGAGTCACGAGGGTAAAACATAGGCAGGAAAATTGGGCATGGTTTAAGCTACCAGGAAATTCAGGGCCCAGATAAAGCACCTGTCAAAATTGAGACACTCGAAGTGGTGAGATTGACTTTGGAATTTATGATTCAATAGTTGACAACAGCAAGTGTATTAATTAAAGGTGACTAGAATTAGATAGAATTAATGTAGTATTCAAGAAAACTGGGTATGTTAAAAAATTATAGTCACTTCAGGAAGTAACGATAGCTGAGCCTGAATACAAGCGCTGCCAAACAAGAAGTGATAGTTCAGTATAGGGAGTCACATGCGTCAAGTGAGTGTACTGTGCTCCTATTGGTGGAGAAGTGACACATGATGATTTGCATTAGAGACACGTTGGAATCACTTGAGCGGAGAAAGGTACTGTATCGAATAACATCTACAACAACTCTAAATGGTTTCTTCACAGTGAGACAAAATCACCTAAAAATGGAATATCATCTTAAAAGAGAGAGTTTATGCAGATTTTATTTTTCAACCAGAGTAATTGATCTTAATTATTAGGGATTCACCATGGCTTGAAAAAAACCATGTGAACTGATAAATAAATTAGGATTTGGCAATTGTTGAATTTAACCAGTATGTTAAAATATTCATTCCATAGTACTGAATTATTCATAAATAGCAACACAATAATACACCAAACCCCACTACATATAGCCAGTAAAGTACATTTTAAAAGGTTTTCAGAAAACTACTTCAAGTGATAAAGATAAACTAGTTTGTTATGAAAGTATGTGTAATGCACCAAATTTGTTATAAAAGTAGCCCTTGGTGTAACGTGAGTGACTTAAGACAGTTTGTATGATATAGTGTGAAAGTAGAAAGGTTTTGGTACTACAGTGGTAATACTTTGATATTCAAATATAGGAGCAATTCATGTAACCACTCATATTTAAACCTTCAAGATGCAATTTTCAAACACGTTCTTAGATGTAGTTACTAACTACACCAATTTAAACTTTTTTCCTTATTTATTCTGCCATCAAATAAACCTGTTAAAAGTTAAATGATTTAGCTATTTCTAATGTTAAACTGAAGTTCCTGGTTTTGATGTCACCTCTGTGGGTTCTACTTTTAACTGCTCGAAACTCCATTAGGATGTATTGATGGTAGAGAAAGTTGGAGGCAGTCAATATCTTACTTCTGTATTGAGTGGAAAGACCGTCACTTGTAAAATGAAGCCTACCCAAACTAGAGTTTAGGAATTATTAGTATTTGTTAATTGATTGTTCAACAGTCTCAGTAATTGATTAGTTCCTCAAGTCATAGCAAAAAACAAAACAAAACGTTGTCTGTGGATATTGTAAGTAACTTGTCTTTGTTTTTTCTATACAACAATTTAAAAATTAATGAAACTTGTCAGTTTAGTCAGTGTACTTCCTTGTTGTCAGGAGTTCAAAAATAAATTATCAACAAAAACTTGGTTGTGGGTGTTACCAGCTGCTTTCCTTCTTTTAAGTCACCATTCAGAAGTAGTGATAGTGTCAGATAACATTAGTAACATTTGATAAGGAAAACAAGGTGGGCAAGTTTTGAGCAAATGGAAATTGAACCTGAGAGCTTCAAATCATGAGAACCACTCTTCCTCTGTAAAAACATAAACTAAACAAACTTAGTAAAAAACAACTTATAAGTATACAATCAGGCAGAGCACAGATAACCCATTTTATAGCTTTGTGTTTAATAACGATCAAACACTTTATTTGTGAATTTCCTCTCAAAGACATAAACTTTAGTGAAAAAAAGATGTGATAGAGGCATATTCTTTTTTTTCTTTTTCTACTACTACTTCTGCTGTAGCAGACAAGTTTGTGAACTTCATAACTCCTCACTGTTTCTTTCTAAATATTAAATGAATAAACTAATAGCCTTACTTACAACAGGTGTCAAAACTTAAATGTTATTTTTTATGTTCAATAGCTTATGCCAGCAGAGTCTGACATAGAACTAAAGCAACAGCAGTCATGGGAAGGGGAAACATGATGGGATCAGGAAAGTACTGAACAGTTGATCAGTTCGCAGCTCAAGGGAAGGACAAAAATAATTATAAGGTCCGAGTTAAAAAGTAAACTGATAAACTGATATCAAAATATATTCCTGGTTTGAAAAGGGACAAGGAAGAGTCACCAGATTTTATGGAAGAAAGAAGATACAAGAATGATGAACTTTATATGGCTCAGTTGTTTCTACTGCAGACATGGTGCCAGATGTACCCATTAACAGATTGGACACCTTCATATACAGCACAATTCCAATGGTAAATAATCTTATGTACATAATCTCTTGAAAAATCATGCTGAATTCAATTATAATTTGGCTAAACTTAGTCTTACAACTAAAATGCTATCAATATAAACTCCTTCACAAAAAATCCCTTCATTATTACTTCAGCTTCATCAGGCAACAGCCTATTGTCTTCTTCATACAAAAGACTAAAATATGAGGATGTCTGTGGGCTAGACTTGGAAGTCAAAGTAAACTCTGCAGTGACAGATAAAAATTAAATTTTTTCTTTGGCTCTTCTGAAATACCCTACTGGGTCCAAAATGTTATTATTGCTAGATTGTAGTTACAAAGTGCACTTCAGATGTGAAAAATGCCCAAAATACAGGTAGCGCAATGATCACAAAAACTTGAGTGTTAAGCTTCTAAAAATATAAGCAGAAATATTTTAAGACAGAATAATCTAACATAAGACTATTGTCATTCTGATGTGCAGCAGTATCATATGTTTTATTACCTACTTTTATTAATACAGCAAATCAATATATTTTTTCATTTATTCTGTTTGTATCCAGTTTTAACATAAACACATGGTTCAGAAAACTGAACTTGTCTAGTTCTACATAACAGATAGTATTGTTACGACAGCAGAAGTCACGTGATGCTGGTAACACGTGATGAGTTTCTTGAAGGATCATGAAGGCTCGAGTGTTTGCCAGACACCTTTTATTTTTATATATATAAGCCCGCCAAATAAAGCAGAGAATAGAAGTGACATCATAGATAATTGCAGATAGGGAGATATAGAGACAGATAATCGAGTCAAGTGAGCGGAAGTGACCATAAGTAAAGTGCATGAATCATTGTGAATTATAGCGTGTGTTTAAGTTAAAGTGACAGTGGAAATTAAGTGTATTGTAAAGTTGTGTTGAGAAAGAATAAACTAGTTTTATTTAAGAAAGGATTTGTATCACTGAAGTTCTTCGATACGAATTTTTACGGGAAATTAACAAACGACCAGAGACGTATCAATATCTATTCTGGTAGAGACGATTTTGTGGTGTATATGTGTTGAATGGGTCAACAACTGAAGTTGTCTAGTTCTATATAACAGATATTATCTACTCTGGTAGAGAGGATTTTGTGGTGTATCTGTGTTGAATGGGTCAACAACTAAAGTTGTCTTATGCTGGACCAGTGGATGATATCTTTATGTCACAGCCAAGGGAAAAAAGGTGTTAATTCAAGAAGGAGAAGCTGATAAAACAACGAATAAGTCATGTGAGAAGTGGGTATGTAGAGAACAGTTGGTAAGTATGATGCTAGTACTAAAATTTAACCTCATTCACAGGCCAAATACTTTACTTATTAATATAAATCCCTCAGACAGGAAATAAAGTCCTGTAAGAAACAAGAAATTTCGATTCAATGATGGAAAATTCAGACACATGGCTAAATTACAAAACTCACACTCTTTATGTTGGAAAGACGACAAAACCTTAAAATACTAAATATATAGACTTACTACTAGTTATTGTGGAATTTTCATCTTCTTTTTTCATCAGTTTGATATCCAAAAAAGCATCCTGCTTCTCATCAGAAAAGGGTTCAACCTTCATCTTCAATACTTCCATGATTAAATACAAGACTTACCTTTATATTCTTATCAAACCTTGCAGTTAAGACTACAGAAAAATAAGTTAGGAATTAGAAAGTCATTTTATTAAAAAAGTTTATAAAGTCTTGAACAAATACTAATCGCAAAATTCACATTATCTTGATAACTTTCATATCCAATTATAAACTTGTCTTTTCACATCTTTATACTAAAACTGTGACATAATCTAACATAAACTGATTTTAAAACAATATTTCTAGTAAAAGACCAAGACAGCCTTTATCAACATTTTTATGTAGTTTAAACATGCATATAATGACTGTGGAGTAAGTTTTTACTCATATAAAAATGTACACTGAAACATGACAATACTGAAATACTTTCAAGCCATTCATGAGTTGAATAATTGATAGTTTCAGTCTTTCTATAATTTCCACTAAATTTTCTACATACCTTAATAATTTCAACAAGATATTTGTACTTACAAGTTACATAAACACATACAGTGGGTTATGTTCACACAAATTTGCGAGATGGATAATTCTACTATTATTTTATCATGGATTTGTTTACCATTCTATAATTTAGTTCAACTATGAATTTTCTAGTTACATTAAAGTGCTAACTCACTTTCTTGCAAAAGCAAATTGAATACAAGTATGTTTGTATTGTGAAACTGACACAAACATCCCTTAATAATAACATACAGATATTAATGTGTTGAAATATTATATAAATTAGTTAGACACATGAGATGAAACCTCCTGGTCTGTCCACTAGATAAAAACCATGCCTTGAACTTAAACAAATTAGTTCATGATGTATAGCGAAAACAAATTATTACTGATTCTATGTCTCTATTTTTATTGATCTTGAAGTTTTCAATTTTTGAATATTGTGTTTTTTCGGAATTAAGACTTTTCTTCTTCTGGTTCATTTTCTTAATTCTTTTACTTATTAACATTATTAATAACTTAATATCGATATTTATTTGGTATAGCTTATTAACAGTTGTATCAAGTACTGCCCAGGTATTTATTTATTAATATTAACATTTCTTTTGGTAAGTGATAAAATCGAATTCCAATTGTTTGAAAGTGTAGTTTTGGATTTCTGTAGTTGTTAAACTATTTCTTTGCTCGTAGAGCCGTTTTATTTTTATTTTACGTTTCAGTCCCTAACAAATAAAAAAGATTCTTCCTTTTTTTGAATCTCATACCTGCTGTCTAGGTAGTTTAACTGCTTCCCAGTTTGCCACCTTTCGAAAGCGCTGGGGTTCTAACTTAAGTTATACTGAGTTAAACTTATAGGGTTTTTATCATTTTGTATCAAGAATTATTGAACCTACGTGTTTTTCTGGTATCATGAATAGGTAGTTTGACTTTAAGTTATACTTACAGTGGTGAAAAATTGCCCAAAATTATGGTCAATTACAAAGATTAATATCACAACTGTACGTTATAGGAACAATTTATCTCTAGTAAAGTAGTAGAAACAATATTTACTTAACTCGCAATAGTGAAATACGGAAACAATATTATTATTTATGGATTTATTAAAACAAGTACACAAATAAAATTACTTTATCTAAATGTATTAAACAACAACAAAAAATATCATCAATATTGCTTACAATATCTCGCCAAACGCACGTAGTTCATAAATAGGATATAACTAGAAATAGTACTAACACGGATAATGTAATTGATTGCCTCGCTAAGCCACACGCATGCGCCTTACAGCCAAATGTATTCGATTTGGATAGAATGGAATGTAGCAACACATCGGCGAACTGTGAGAGTTTTTGATTGTATGTATAAGTTAAAGTTTTCTTTTCTTTTTCACTAGAGGTAAAATTGAAAAGAGAATCTTTCACATATATATGCAATCATTAAAAAGTTGATCCCATTTATAATATCTTTTAATGAATTCAATGGAATGTCATAACATCATTCACATACCTAAATTAATTTAGGTTACCATAGTGTGAAGAAAGGGACTTAAAACCCTATAGATATGTGAAGGTTTTTGTACCAATTAAATAATGTATAATGGAAAAAGTTATAAATCTGTTAAAACTGAGAGAATGATTAAACCTATCAATTATAATGAATTACAAAATATTGTTATGGCAGCGGAAGTCACGTGACACGAGTAACACGTCATGAGATTCAAGAAAGATCATGTCTGTTCCTGGCAACTGTAGTCTTTCTACGCGCCCTCTATTTTTGTATATATAAGCCGGCAAATCAAGTGACGGCATAGATAATTGCAGACAGGCAGAGACGACAATTGAGTCAAACGTGGTAGCGACCATAAGTAAATTTGCTTGAATCGTTGTGAATTATAGCGTATGTTGAAGTAAAAGTGACTGTAGAAATTAAGTATATTGCAAAGTTGCATTGAGAAAGAATAAACTAGTTTTATTTAAGAAAGGACTTGTATAGCAAAAGTTTCATCCGAAAGAAATTATACGGGAAATTAACAAACGACCAGAGACGTAAGAAATTGATGTCAGAAGTGGGATAGAAAAAAAAAGAAGAAAATGGAAACGAGAAGTGGCAAATCAAACTACAGCTTCACGGATTTGATGGCAGCAATACAAGAACAGCAAAACAAACAAGAAGAACGAGAAAATAAAAAAACAGAATAAACAAGAAGAGAGAGATTACAGCAGCTGTTGGAGGA